GGGGGGGGGGGGGGGGGGGGGGGGGGGGGGCACACTATCCTGCATATTTTAGAGGTTTTTCTGCTCCAGCACACCTGATCCAAATGTGGGGGATTTACCCAGATCTAAAAAAATGCAAGATAGTGGCCCTCCTGAACTGGTCAGGATGGTGGCCCTCCCGGACCAGGACTGGTCAGGATGGTGGTCCTCCAAGACCAGGACTGGTCAGGATGGTGGCCCTCCAGGACCAGGACTGGACTCTCCTTGTCTACATCTCATTAGTGTGAGGTCCATCTTGACGCTCCTTTACTCTTCGTAGTTTCCTAAAAGGGTTTTGCTGCGACTGTCCAAGTCCCTGAGAGGTTCTTGTCGGGCTCTTCAGTTTGGGACCAGTCCCCCGGACCGCCTCAGGACTGAAGCACGAGCTCGATGATGCCACAGTCTGTGCACGTTGTCACGTTCAGTCAGCCTGGGCTCGAGGACCAGGCCCCACATGGAGGACCCGCTGCCACCACGATCCAGACTCAGGTCCAACATGGTAGACCACCAACACCTGCAACAGTTCTGATCATGCTCTGAACCATCTATGGGTGCCTGAAGACCTCGTCAAGACCCTGAACATCGGAGTGGGCCATAGTCCAGCTTGAAGACGGCTCCATGTCCAAACCGTTTGGTGCTGTTTGGAACGTTTTTGAACTTTGTTCTGAGAGTCTCTGATGGACCAACGTGGGTGAGTGGGGGGGTGTCCTGTCCTCAGGGTGAATCAAACGTCTTTAATCCATCCTGTTGGGGGGGGGGGGGGGGGGTCTCTGACTGGATCTGGACTCTGTGGGCCACGTATTAGACCAGGTCTAAGAGGATTGGGGACAGATGGTGGCCTTTGCCTTGAGGATGTTTATTATTAGAAAAATGGGGCGTGGTGGAACCATAAGTCCCGCCCACCTAATTTGTTTTAGTTTTTTTTTTTAAGCCACGCCCACTTAGAGCAGCCCTTTCCTCTCCTGACCAGTTTTTATGGGTCAAATAGGTTCTGGTCCAGTCCAGTGTTCTGTTAGCAGAATATCTGCTGATTCATTCAAGATGGCCGCCGCAGAGCTACCATGGTGGTGGCTGAGAGTCATCCCTGACACGCACTCCGAGCGCTGCCGCCGGGCGACACGCATTTCCTGCTTCCTCCGGCTCTCTGCTCAGCAGATGGAGAGGAGGGGGTGTGCGCGCGTGCGTCCGTGATGCTGGGCAGCACCCTGATGGGGGGTCAGGTCCTGCAGGGGGGGTCAGTCCCGTCGGCCAGGCCCGTTTGGGTCGGTTCTGATCGGTGCTGAGCTCCTGCAGGGAGGGGACACGGAGAGGGAGGGGGAGGGGGCGTGCACGAGAGAGAGAGAGAGAGAGGAGGCGCAGCGTCAGGCAGCAGCTCACGGTCCGCGCGCGCACACGCACAGCTCCAGAGGACAGCGGGAGGTTCGGTTCTGCTCGGATCATGGATGGGACAAAGCCGGCCATGGAGTCCACCGCGGAGGACACCCCCGAGGAGGGACAGGACAGCAAAGGTACGCACGCGCACGCCTCTCTGCGCCTTCATTCGAGCCGTGCGCGTGACAACGAGCGGCAGAACCTGGACCTGGTTCTGTTTGGATCAAAGAGGAGCGGCAGCGCGCTGCTGTGCGCGCGCGCAGGGCTATTGTTCTCCATCAGGAGGAGGCTCGTGTCCTCAGGTTCTGGTTCTGGTCGGGTCCAGAGACTGGGGGGGGACGAGAGCTGGCCACGCCCCGTGAGGGGGGGGGGGGGGGGGGGATCTGACCCAGATTATTGTAAACGAACCGGACCACCCGAACCTGCAACAGAACCCTCTGAGCCTCATCAACGGTCCAGGTTGCAGGTTCTGTTGGGTCGGAACCAGAAGCCCCCCAGGAGGATCTTTAAGACCAGGCTGATCCACCTCCAGCAGGTTCTGGTTCTGACTGGAGCATCAGGTCCAGTATGTGTTCTGACAGGACCAGTCCAGTATGTGTTCTGGATCAGTAAAAGCAGAAATATTTTGTCCTCAGATTAAATCTATAATTTCTAGATGTGAACGAGTTTGGGTCCAAATTCATGAAATGGCTCAGAACCGGTCCTGGTGTTCTGTCACATCTAAAGCCCACAAACATCTGATTCAGATCTGGAAATACAATGACGGTTCTGGTTGAAGGATCTGGTAGGAGGTTCTGGTTGAAGGATCTGGTATGAGGTTCTGGTAGGAGGTTCTGGACTGTATGGGTCCACTCGGCCTCAGCTCCACGCTCCTCTGGGCCTTGGCGGCCATCATGGACGGGTCCAGAGTGGATTCTTCAGAACCCATCCTCGTTTCTGCTCACTAGGACTGGACTGATCCTGACACGTGATCCGGATCAGAACCGGGTCGTCTCGCTGGGACATTCATCAGGTTTTATTCGTTGGACAGAGTGGATGTCTCCGAAGTGTCCTGGGTTTGTCTCCGAGCCTGATCAAGAGCCGTGTGTGTTACATAACCCAGCAGCACCGGCTCACGGTTCGATCAGAACTGATTACATCACAGTCTGGACGGGCTTCAGGTTCTGTCGGATCAGAACTCTCTCTGGGTTCAGGACTCTTTGAATCGCCGGTCTCTGAGGACCCGATGACGAGCGCCGGTTTAAATCAGACCTGGTCCCTCTGTCCGTCAGTACACGTTGTGAGCTTGATGACTTGGAGCAGAAGTAAGGCGTCAGCATATCATCGGCGTATCGTCGGCGTATCATCATCATAACGTTGGCGTATCATCGGCTTATCGTCAGCTTATTGTCAGCGTATCAACGGCGTATCATCATTGTATCATCAGTGTATCATCAGCGTATCATCAGTGTA